TTCCCAGTGTTAAAAAGAAGCTCAAATTATTATTCTTTTCTTACATCTACATTACTTTCCTTTACTGAATTTTAAAATTATCTGGAAGTTGCACGTGTATCATGAAGTAGCTGAAAAAAATGGTGTATTATACTTAATGGTTTGTGGCAATAAATCAGTAATATTCTAGGAATTTCTCCTTTTCCCCAACAGTGTAATCTAAAGAGATTGCAATTGGATATGATTACAGTAAAAGATATTTTTATGAAATTGTTTCAATAAGCAATTCAAAATAAATATTTCCTTGAATTTTAGAAAAGATTATAGATATAACTCAACAGTGAACTTAATTCAGATATCACAAGCTATCCACAATTATTTCCATGCTTAATTGTGTTATTCCTTTAAATTGTAACATTTAATTCTTTTAGGCACACATGCTACATCTCTTCTGCTACCAGCCATTAATTGAAATAATAGATAATATCTATACAGGCATTTTGCCCAATTTCAAATAATTAAAATTTATTAATAAATTCCATTCTTCTCATTAAATACAAAATTAGTCCTAAATTTAATTTTTGAAGTTTCCCTTCTACTAAAACATTGCTTATAGAGAACCAGTCAGTTAGATGAGCAATAGCATTTGGCTCTAGATTCAAACCCCAGAAAGTAAGCTGCCTGCGTAAGTGTATATTTGTAACATGAATATAAACCAGTTTTCCTTAAAATATTCTCTACAGTCTTCCTTTCCTTGGATAGATGCCTCTCTCTTGCTTTGTCATATTTCAAATAATCAATTCAAACATTTAATGTTGGTATGACTTAGTCCCAAATTTGAACTGAAAAATTGAACAGAATTCCTTGATACTGTGTTCTATAATACATGATGAATATAGAAGCATCTTAAAAATTTAAGAAAGAAAATATAACTTATTTGTATGTTCCTTGATCCTATAATTAATTTTTCTCTGCTATGCGTATAAAATTAAGAAAGGTAGACTTAAGAATGTAAAAACTGAAGATGAAGAATTCAATTAATTGATTTGACAGTAGTAAAAAACTAACAATTTTTTTATAAAAAATTGTGTATGCATAATGGTTCCTTAAAATTTTAATTTTCTACATAACCTTTAATTTTAAACACAATGGAACTATTTTAGCACTATAATCAAAATGACTAAGATTTTCTTCCTTTAATTGATGTCAAAAATAGGATAATTATATTGCAAAATTCCTGTGGATGATTTAATTGTTCTCATAGTTTTCTAAAGATATAAATAATTTCATTTATTAAACAATTCAGATTAATGTTTTTGTTACCATTATTTTTAACCAACACTTTTTAAATCTTCATTTAATAAAATGAAATTTTTGAATAGATTATTATGCAATAAAAAATTCTGTAAGATAATATTTGCTCACACAAACTATTTACTTGGTATTTGCCCATGGCTTTATAAGTATTCGATGAAGCCTGTAACATACAGGCTACATCAGGAAGCATTTCATTGTAGTGTTATATTCCATAATCATGCATTTTATTTCGAAAAATATTGTATTCTGAAAATAGATGAAAATGTTGAATAATGCAATATATTTCACTACTAACACATACAGCTTGTGGGAAGATCTATATTTAACATTCAGTATAATTCTCAGTAATGAATTTCAATATACATAACTACATATTGCTAGATTAGATTTAGTTGACAAAAACTGTTAAAGATAATATAAAAGTTCTATTTGGTTCCAGCAGTTTAATGCAGAAATAAAAATACCTTTAATAGCATATATTAATGGTTCTCAACCTTTTTTATCTTTGCTAGATCATTCACCTCCTCCTTAGTCAACTTGAAAAATAGATATACACTCATTTTGATTTAATTATATTTTAACGTTTTTATAAATTAAATAACAAAAAGGTATAGAAAATGTTGATATATACCAAAACTGGAATAAAAGTAGTTTATATTCCTAAATTAATTAATAGAAGTCAGTTTTTACATTGCATTCTGTACAAAACACTTAATTTGTTTGAAAAGCAAGATGTTTTCAAATTAGCCAGTATTTCCTTCCTTTAAAAACTAGCATGATTTTGTAAACACTTGCCACTCTTTGTACACAAATGACATGATTATTCCTTAAAATCATACCATTTTGAAGTTTTAATATAACATTACATAATTCCTTACTCACCAACACACTTTTAACCCCCCCCCAAAAAAAATCAACTTATCCAAATGCTGGGTAACTGATGAATCTTCTATTGCAAATCTTGAAAAATTGTACACACTGTGGAAAATGAATGTGGCAAACAAAAATTTGTTTATTTTTGCATACATTTCAGTGTGCACTGCGAAAGAAAATTATTTATTCTAATACACAGCATATAGAAACAAAAATAAGTTTATTTTTATTTGAAAACTATCCAGAAGATAAATAAATTAAATAAAAAATAAGTAAAATTTATAGATTATTCTTGTCTTTCTTTTTAATTAATCATGTGAAGGAACAGAAGAACAGATCCTAAGAAGGTTACTTCTTAGGAATCAAAGCATGGCTCCTAAATAAAGAAAAAATCACATTCTTTAGAAGTACATGATAATATATTGTAGATTTGTTATGTGACGTTTCAATTCGGCATCTCTTCATAGTAATTACACTTGCATTTGTACTTGCATATTTTGCAAATGATTTAAATTGTTTTTAAAAATTAAATTCCAAATAAGTTTCATATTGGTCCTTTCATAAAATCATAATATATCTCACTCAGTCTTAGCAATAAAAGGCGGATTTAAAGCACTGTGACTGTGGTACTTCTTGCCATCATATATCCAAATATAGAACAGCCATGCAAGAATTATAACTCATCCTTCTCATTAATAACCTTGAATTATTAGAAAGAATATAACTTTTCTTCAATGAGTTTAATTACTCGATACCAATATAAAATATAACGGATTTTAATTATATATTAAAAATATAAGTGTACTAGTAGTAATATATGCTAAAAAATTGCTTTTCGAAGGAAACAGCAGCAAGGTGGTTCACAAATTATGATAATTTATCACATAATCTCTATTCGAAAAAAGTTTGAGAAATGCTGTGTTGCAAACCCAATCAAATAATATGAATCTGAAAAATTAATTAAATTATGGTTAATACTGGTAATTTCAGCCTGTATGCTTTAAGCTTGATGATCAACATTAAAAAAATTCTCAGAAAGTGTAAATCAGATCAAAAACTACTTTTCCACATAATATGAACTTATACGTAACAGCATTTAATACTTAGCTCACTGGCAAAATATACAAAATTTTGAAATGCAATGTATATATATAAGGCCAATAAGTATCAATGAACATCATTAATGCATGAACTTCAAAACTTACACAATTAACAAACACATGAACAATGATGTTACATGCATTCATCCTCTGAATTAACTAGTCAGTTTGGGTATTTTCTATCTTAGATCGCAAAAAATTGATCGTCATGGATTTAATATTTTAAATGTTCCTCTCATAGACATTTTAATACTTGTATTTTTTACATAGAGTGTCATCTTTAGTTTTACAGATATTCATTTGTTTAATTACGATTAAGTTTTACAGACAGAACAGATGATACCTGATTACATTAAGTGGTACTTAAGTACTACTTAACACAGTTGCTAGAAAAATATTACATAGTGAAAGACAGGGTACAAAGTCAGAATCTGAAAACTTATTGACTTACACTAAGCTATTTAATGCTTGAAATATTTATGATTAGATAATATCTTTTACATCATCAATATCTAACAGTGATATGATATACTTTAAGTATAAATATACAGTAAAACCTCTCTATAACTTCCTTCCATAATTTTGTACAATTTTGATATTTAATGGAGGTGGTTACTTCACAAAGCATGATTCTCAGTGATAATTAATATCAATGTTTGTATCACCAGAATACTTGACATAAGTCACTTAAAGAGGTATAGTTGCTAAGGAAGGTTTTTCTATACTTCAAACAATGGTTTACATATTTTAAAATATTTTAAAAAGTATATTTTTCTGACACTGTTATTTAAAAAGTGTATAACTCCTTCTACTCTTAAAGCAAAAATCTGATATTTCTTATGCTTAAGAGTCATTCATTTAGTTGTAACTTGCAGGAAGATATCTTAAATGCCTAAAAAGTTCTTAATTTATGAAAAGCAGTCTTTAAGGCATACTGTCTATTACATTTAAAATTCCGGTTATTTTTTAACACTAGTTCAAATACTCTAAGCATGTGTTTGCATAAGTTGCATAACTTTTGCACCAGCAAAATTCATAACTTAACAAATATGAACTATGAAAAACAATCTTTATTAGATCTATAACACTCTTAACACCAAAGAAATTTGATGCCTGAAAGTAAGCAATGACTTATTTAATCTGTTTTAAAATGGATCCTTTTTAAGTTTGGCTATAGCAACAACTTACATTACTCAGTATTGTTAGATAGTGAATTTGTAATTTTCATTCTTGAAATATATACACATGACAGAATTAGAATGAAAACTTTAGGTTTTACAGATGTACTCATAGATGAAAAAAAATCTGAACTAAGTGTAAGCTGTAAGTGTACGAACACTTTTGGGAGCACCGTACATTTATGCAGATTCTTCATTATTTAATTTCTTTAACTATAACACAGGGTGATAAAATTTGGTGAAAATAATTTGAAAAGTGGTACATGGTATTTAAGTAATTCAATGCAAAATGCCATTTTGAATCTAATCGCCCTACTGAGCTAATGCCTCTCTCTTCCTCCCCCCCTTTGGGCTAAGGAAAATCATTTATGTATACTGCCATCAGTAATATGTGGAATAAATTTCTTTTTATTGATGACTTCTTCATGATGTTACAGTTTTCACAAACATGTATGTGTATAATATAGTAAAAATGTTATTACTGAAAAAAAGTTTGGTATTCTTGATTTAAATAGTTTACTAAATTGATATATTTGCATTCATTATATTTTAGTTCTGTGCTACAAGGAAAAGTGTTATGCAGACTGCTTGTATTGTTTCTAATGCAGCAAAATTTGTTCTTAATTCTGAACACAAACAAAAGTTAATTGAAGCAGCGAATATTTTGCATGACAGTAAACTTAGAGGTAATGTTGTTTTTATCATTATATTAATAAATAATTTTATAAATTATTCTCTGTTTCCAGATGTGGTATGGCTTTTCTATTAGAAGTTAAGAGTAAATATTCAAATAAAATTATATTTTAAATTTTAGCATACAAGATATTCATGACCTGTTTCTTTCTATAGTATAAATCCTATTTTTTTTTTTAATGAATTTCAAATCAAGCAAAATTTTCCTTATTGATTAATATATAATCTAAACTTTTAAATGTAGCATTTATGGTTGATTTCTTTGTCTAATCTGAGCTTCAGAAAGATTTTATGGTACTTTGATTGTGAAATGCTTTTTTAAATAATAGCAGTTATTTTTTTTTTTTAAACTTAAGATCACGATTGTTATACATTGCACATTCAACTTGCTGAAATAAATTTTAAAGAGAGTGAAGGCAATATTGGTAGTCCCTGAATCTTTTGTTAGTGATTTGAACTGAAATTTTTTGGTGAAATTATTGAAATGGGAAAATAGTTTTCCCAAATACTGGCTATTGTAGTAATTGAAACAGATCTCATGATTATAATAATTTTTGTTCAGTTGATTTTCCTATTAATTTTTGTTCAGTTGATTTTCCTATTAATTTTTGTAAATGTAGTAATTTTTCAGGTGTGTTTTTAATCTTTAAGTGTCTAATATTCCCCCTCCCCGAAAAAAAGTCCCCCCAAAATAATAAATTTGTTAGCATCTATGGATTATCATCACACAGTGCGATTTGGTGCCAATAATGGATGAACTTGATGTCACAACACAGTCATAAGAAGTTCAATTTGGTTTTAATGTGAATTCAAATAATTTCTGATCTGTTTAATTTTTCTAAAGAAGAATATAAGTTTTTTCTCCCTCGCATTTTGAAAAATGATTAATATTTGGAACTGCAATGATTTGGAGCATTTTTTAAGTTACAGGATCCAATCATAAAATGTCGATGTAAGATGAAAGACTATGGTAAATGATTTAAGTTTTTTATATGGTATATCTATAATTTGTATCTCTTTATTGTCTAACTAAATAAAGAACAATCTCTTCATTTAAACTTCTGCTGTAATGATTGGTGACATCTTTACCAACTTTCATGTTTGGCAAGATTTCATCATATGTGTTACTTTCATGCTTAAGTCTACGAATTATTCCGTAGCCTCAAGCATTTGTAACAGATAAGTTTTGTAAATAAATAAGTATGTCTGAAATGCATATTAAAAAAAAATAATACATAATTTTAAATGTAGACTTCTGGAATTGAAGGTGATAACAAATAAGATGATTGTTTTTGTAATTTTACCGTGAAAGTTTTCCCCGTTCATTTGTCTCTTCTAATGAGAATTCCATTTTTTATATGCTCAGCTATTTGGAATTTTCACATATTTAGAATTCAGCATTTCCTGAGCTTTTGCTGATATTTTTACAGTCAAAAAGTAAAACATTGTGTTAAATTTTGATTGCCAACTTTTCTAAAAGTGAAATATTGAAACAGCATGTAACTTTTATTAGTACATAGATTAGACAAATTTTCAAAAAATTATTATTTGAATGTTTTTATGTACACTCTGATGAAATGCTGTGCATATTATATAAGTTGTACATGTTATTAACAAAAACAGCAAATCTTTCAGAAGATGTGGTTATTATTTGTATTAATTAGGTAAGCAGAGAGGCAACTAAAACTTCAGCATTTAAAAAAAAAAGTGTGAAATTAATTATGACCTTTAAGTAACTTATTGTGACTTCTTCAGTTTATGTGCTAGGTCTGAAGCTTAAATGCTATATATTGTGTTAAAATATAGAGACATGACTATTTGAAAATTAAAACTGGAAACCTTAGGTGAAAATCGAAGTATAAAGAAGTTGAATTTATTTAAAAAATACTTATGTGCATCAAAGGAAAATCAATTTTGGAAGAATTATTTTCTGTTATTAATATCTTTAGGTATTGAGACTGCATTAATTGTTTTATAATGAATTTTAGGTTATTAAATTTGCACACCTTTTATAATTTTAACATGATTAAATAGAGTTTATAATTAAAAAATTACTTCAAGTAGCTGAATATTTAAGTTATTTTAAACATTGTTGTATATACCGGGTGGCCATAATTAAACTGACAGTGCTCACAGTGTTCTGTAGCAAGATCTATTTGCAAGAATGATGCCACATTTTGTAGGAAGATTAAACAAGACGGGGGACGAAGGAGTCTGCGAAAAAACAAATTAGTTCCAAAAGTCACCACTAGGGGGATATTTGGCGCTGTGTAATAGAAAATAGAGTGTTAACAAATGAAAATTAAGATGGAATAAATTTACCTTTTATTATGCACATTTTCTGATTTAGTTCAAGTGCAATATGGCAACACTTTTAAAAAAGCGTAAAATCTACATAAACACCGATAAAGTCTCGTGATCTGCAATATCACGTACGCTGAGCAGAAGAAGTTCTTTATTCAAATTTCACGTTACATCCATTCGCACAGTGCCAGCTGCTTGGGTTTTAAAAGGCAATGTGTTACGTTTCGAATCAATCGGATTGAAAGTTTATGTGCAATGTCTCCTTCTTTAGTCGAGCGTGCGTTACTGGTCAAATTCTTTTACCTCAACCAGTGCAACGCGTCAGCCGCTCTTCGTGCTTTTAGAACGCACAAAAAAATGCGTAAAGGTAACGGTCCTGTGTCAGTTAATGGGCTAAAAGCAATGGTTGCGACGTTTGAGAAAACAGGTTCTCTGAAGGTTCAGTCAGGCAGAGGACGAAAACCTGTACCACAGGATACAATCGAAGCAGTTGCCACGGCGATTGTCGACAGAGGACCAGACAATATTGCTGCCACCTCTAGCGCTCGTGGAGTAGCTCGGAATATGGATATGCCTTACAGTACGGTATGGAAAATCTTACGAAAGATTATCAACTTCTATCCGTACAAGATCAGCCGTGTACAGGAGTTACTGTATCCTGACCATGATAAGCGATTGACTTTTGCTCTCACCTTTCTTGCCAGAATGAAGGTGGATGATGCTTCGCTGTGGAAAATCTTATGGGGAGACGAGGCCCATTTTACCTGAATGGAACTGTGAATACCCAGAATTTAGGATGACAAATCACCACATGCAGTTTATCGTAGGTCCATTCTTCTATGAGAACAATACCCCGAGAGGACCGGAAACCTGTTCTGTTACCGGAGAGAAATATCGCCACATGTTGAACAGCTTTGTCATTCCGGCACTTCAGCAAAGACAATGCCTGGGGGAAATCATTTTTATGCAAGATGGAGCCCCTCCACGCGTTGCTGTGCAGGTGCAACAGATGCTATGACAGAAATTCACAATAGAAAGAGTCATTAACCGCTACTTTCTAACTGCATGGCCACCTTGATCGCCTGATCTTACCCCATGCGACTTCTGGCTATGGGGGTTACCTTAAGGTCTATCAAGGAGTGGTCCAGGACCTGTCTACGTTGAAGGATAACATATCAGGGACTGTAGGGAGATTTCTGCAGCTGTGTTACTTTCTGTTGTTGTGCATTCTGTGATGCAATATGTGGTCCACAACAACGGAAGCCACATTGAACCTCATTTGAATTCAAAATAAAAGGTAATTTCCGTTTTGATTTGCATTTGTTAACACTCTATTTTCTATTACACAGCACCAAATATTCCCCTAGCAGTGACTTTTGGAACTAATTTGTTTTTTCGCAGAATCCTTCGTCCCCCGTCTTGTTTAATCTTCCTACAATGTGGCGTCATTCTTGCAAATATATCATGCTACAGAACACTGTGAGCACTGTCAGTTTAATTATAGCCACCCAGTATATATGTATGAGATGTGGTTAGGCTGAATGACAAAGATGGTAGTCACGTTTAATGATTTTTTAATGATAGGCTTGGACATAATTAACACGAAGGTAACATTAAAAGAATGAAAAGAAGTAAGATGAAAATATAATGAGAAATTCAGTCTGTGACATCATCAAAACAGAATAGCATCACATTTGGAATTCACATTATTTAATAAAAAAAGTTCATAGCCCTTCACCTTCGAATCATTACTGCTCTTTCGAGTTACGCCATTGATTGTATGTCCTATTTACACAGCTTTGAGAAGAAGTCACTTGACTCGCTGGTGGCCGTGTTGCCACTGAACTTGTAGAAAAGAAATTGATGACCACATATATATAGAACCTTAGTTTTTCTTTTTAATGCAAAAGGTAGCAACATGTAATTATTTGAAATGTACTATATATCTTTTCTTGAATTATCAGAAAAAATTTTTGTAGTTCATTAGAACCACGGATTGCAAACAAATTTGTGTAAAAAAAATATCTTGATTAATAAACTCAAGATATGAACAAGTAAACTACTAATGAATGATACTGCAAAAAGCAGGTCACATGACATTATGAGTTTTGTGGAAAATTATATCATAATAAAGAACATTGTAGGGCAGGAATGTTTGCGTGAAATTGCTAGTTGCTGGATGGTTTTTGCTCGGGTGTTATATATTGCAATTCTTTCTTTCACTTAATTTTTTTGTGATGTGTATTTAGTAATATAAATTATTAAATATCATACTGCACAACCAATGAATGATAATGACAAAAGCAAAATGAAAAAATAATGATTAGAATCATGATAGAGGGGAAGCAAAAAATTATGGACAAATACGAATGTGATATTCAAGTCTTTGACAGCTGAGTTCTCTATGACAAAGTCAATGATCTGCAGTATTCTCAAAAATAAGGACACAATCAGAGCAGTTGTATTATAAGAGAAGTGGCAGACAATTGAAAGGTGCAAAACAAAGATCTGAAATGATTGAAGAATGTGGAGAATTTGCTGCTGCTTTAATTAAATGAACAAATGTTAGCTGATAACAATGTATGTGAAGGCTGATGAAGTCTGGCATTAGGAATGGAGACAGATAAATAAGCAGAGATTCATCTGGATTAACATATATTGAAATACAAAAAATCATTATAGGCACAGC